TACCTATGGCAATTGTGTAAAGAGAGAAATCTTACTACCCTCGCGTCAAATATAAAATCCAGGAGTAATACTGATACAGATGAGCTTTGCGTCAGTGGGACGTGGAAACGGAGTGGGAGCGACACCTGTCACCGTCTTGATTTTGGTTCAAGTATTTGGTGATTCTGAAATTTCACCTCTAGAACTAAAGCAGGGATCTGATGGAGGACCCAGGACGCCGCTCCCACTAATTCTGAAGCCTACTCTGGTTATCGCAACTGGAAAGCTGAAATTCCAATCAGCATCGATAATCCATCACGTATTGTGGGCTTAGACTGCGGTAGGACCTTTGTCGGGAAGAAATACATGTCTGGTTTTCTACCTTGAAATTTCTTACCTTACAGTGTGATAAGAGATCAAGATATAATTGTTTGAGCTACCAGTCTTTTAGCCAAAATGTTACTAACGATGCAGACATACAATGGCTTTTGGAGGACATTTACAGACTGGGGCCATCTCAACCGAAATATAGATACTGGGGTTGTTCTCAAACAACCAAAGGGGTTGCTGGTAAGCTCATTAGGTATTTGGATGAGGAAATTAGCAACACAGCTAGCTTTAACCTCAGGTCAGAGAGTGCAAGCTAATTGAAACAGACAACATCCGGGTTGTGTTGAATAGTATAGAAATTGAGATTTCTCAGTTTTTGAAAGTCTCGGGGTCACTCATGAGGCAACCACTTTTAGTTTTGCCGTATTTTACGCCCAAATATCTGTGCAGTCAAAGTCACTGAACAGAAACTTTATCATGGTGCCTCTGCTCCCAGATGGATGAAGTCGGTTTTAGCAGATAGTGTCACAATTGACAATTCACAGTACATGAAATGCGTCTAACTCTCCGCCTGCTAAATTATAGTATCCTCAGGCTCGCGGCGGGCTGGAGTACATTTTCTGAGACACGTCACAAAGCTCTTATACCAAACAATATCTTTGCTCAAGCGGCATTTGAGGTGAAGCAAGCCTCCACACCTTAAACATAACTATGTTATTACGTTATATACTTATTACCATGTAATGGTACGTCATATTACCTGTTGCTAAACGCCCGAACTTGGGTTGTTACAATGGATATGTACATTTAGTTGACACATACATTGCGTACAATTTGTATAGTTGTGTACAACCTATAGTTTACTATTGCAGAGCGCTGGTAGTATGTTGTTGCAACTAGCTTTGAACATCTACGATATGTATTCTAAATATTTACTTCGACGAGGACGGAACATAATTACATGATCAAACGAACTTAACTGTAAGTTATGTTCGATCTTAATTATGTGAAGTCCTCGTCGAAGTAAATAGCTCCCTCGCTCCCTATGTATTGCCCAATTGTCGCAACAACTTGGCTTTGAAGAAAATGAATGTTTATAGTCGGCCAAAGGGGAGGAAGGTAGGGGGAACGGGCGCGGTGCCGCTTTCTTTCGCTGCGTGCGTGCTTTGAAATCGTGGGGTTTGGTAACCGCGGTGACTCTAGCAACAACGGCCAGCCAGCAACAAACGATAGTCCCTCTTCTCACCAGCGGCCGCGTCGCGCTGGACACCATCGCGCGTCGCTACAGCCGCGAAGCCGGCGCAGCGTAAGCAGGCGGTGCGGCACCGTCTTCCCATGTAAAACGGTGTTATAGTATCTACACAAAATTATATACAATGTGTGTTGTCAGTGTTATCACACTATCTATCACATTCCGTGGCCGAGGCATATTAAGCCTACCAGAGGGAGTGAAAGTTACCTATACGAAACTCACATGGAAATTTGAAAATTAAAATTCTCAATTTTTTTTCAAATCAACACCACTTTTTTTTCACGAAAATCAATTCTACAATGCATCCTTCATATCCGGGATCGATTACATCTCGTGGCCGGGGCATATTAAGCATACCAGAGGGAGCGAAGTTACCTATACGAAACTCACATGGAAATTTGAAAATTAAAATTCTCAATTTTTTTTCAAATCAACACCACTTTTTTTTCACGAAAATCAATTTTACAATGTATCCTTCATATCCGGGATCGATTACATCTCGTGGCCGGGACATATTAAGCCTACCAGAGCGAGCGAAAGTTACCTATACGAAACGCACATGGAAATTTGAAAATTAAAATACTCAATTTTTTTCAAATCAACACCACTTTTTTTTCACGAAAATCAATTCTACAATGCATCCTTCATATCCGGGATCGATTACATCTCGTGGCCGGGGCATATTAAGCCTACCAGAGGGAGCGAAAGTTACCTATACGAAACGAACATGGAAATTTGAAAATTAAAATTCTCAATTTTTTTTCAAATCAACACCACTTTTTTATCACGAAAATCAATTCTACAATGCATCCTTCATATCCGGGATCGGTTACATCTCGTGGCCGGGGCATATTAAGCCTACCAGAGGGAGGGAAAGTTACCTATACGAAACTCACATGGAAATTTGAAAATTAAAATTCTCATTTTTTTTTCAAATCAACACCACTTTTTTTCACGAAAATCAATTCTACAATGCATCCTTCATATCCGGGATCGATTACATCTCGTGGCCGGAGCATATTAAGCCTACCAGAGGGAGCGAAAGTTACCTATACGAAACGCACATGGAAATTTGAAAATTAAAATACTCAATTTTTCTTCAAATCAACACCACTTTTTTTTCACGAAAATCAATTCTACAATGCATCCTTCATATCCGGGATCGATTACATCTCGTGGCCGGGACATATTAAGCCTACCAGATGGAGCGAAAGTTACCTATACGAAACGCACATGGAAATTTGAAAATTAAAATACTCAATTTTTCTTCGAATCAACACCACTTTTTTTTCACGAAAATCAATTCTACAATGCATCCTTCATATCCGGGATCGATTACATCTCGTGGCCGGGGCATATTAAGCCTACCAGAGGGAGCGAAAGTTACCTATACGAAACGCACATGGAAATTTGAAAATTAAAATACTCAATTTTTTTTCAATTCAACACCACTTTTTTTTCACGAAAATCAATTCTACAATGCATCCTTCATATCCGGGATCGATTACATCTCGTGGCCGGGGCATATTAAGCCTACCAGAGGGAGCGAAAGTTACCTATACGAAACGAACATGGAAATTTGAAAATTAAAATTCTCAATTTTTTTTCGAATCAACACCACTTTTTTTCACGAAAATCAATTCTACAATGCATCCTTCATATCCGGGATCGATTACATCTCGTGGCCGGGGCATATTAAGCCTACCAGAGGAGCGAAAGTTACCTATATGAAACGCACATGGAAATTTGAAAATTAAAATTCTCAATTTTTTTTCAAATCAACACCACTTTTTTTTCACGAAAATCAATTCTACAATGCATCCTTCATATCCGGGATCGATTACATCTCGTGGCCGGGGCATATTAAGCATACCAGAGGGAGCGAAAGTTACCTATACGAAACGAACATGGAAATTTGAAAATTAAAATTCTCAATTTTTTTTCAAATCAACACCACTTTTTTTTTCACGAAAATCAATTCTACAATGCATCCTTCATATCCGGGATCGATTACATCTCGTGGCCGGGGCATATTAAGCCTACCAGAGGGAGTGAAAGTTACCTATACGAAACTCACATGGAAATTTGAAAATTAAAATTCTCAATTTTTTTTCAAATCAACACCACTTTTTTTTCACGAAAATCAATTCTACAATGCATCCTTCATATCCGGGATCGATTACATCTCGTGGCCGGGGCATATTAAGCATACCAGAGGGAGCGAAAGTTACCTATACGAAACTCACATGGAAATTTGAAAATTAAAATTCTCAATTTTTTTTCAAATCAACACCACTTTTTTTCACGAAAATCAATTTTACAATGTATCCTTCATATCCGGGATCGATTACATCTCGTGGCCGGGACATATTAAGCCTACCAGAGCGAGCGAAAGTTACCTATACGAAACGCACATGGAAATTTGAAAATTAAAATACTCAATTTTTTTTCAAATCAACACCACTTTTTTTTCACGAAATCAATTCTACAATGCATCCTTCATATCCGGGATCGATTACATCTCGTGGCCGGGGCATATTAAGCCTACCAGAGGGAGCGAAAGTTTG